GAGTTACAAGTTAATAATAAACTAAGATGAAATCCCGCAGACAAACAAAAAGGTTAAGCCCAGAGAGAGACAAAGCGTTGCGCATGCATGTGGGGCTGTCTTGCAGCACAAACTGTCTCCTGTCTCTCTCTTCTGTCTCCTCTGTCTCCTCTCTGTCTCCTCTCTGTCTCCTCTCTGTCTCCTCTTCCCCTGCTGCAGCCACCGGGCTCAGGCCGCCTGGGGGCTGCTGCTGTTGCTGCTGTTGTGAAACTCTCATCACAGCTAGTTTGGCTGTAGTGCAGCTAGCGATGGCCCCCCCCAATAAGATCTATGAGCGTCTCGTTACGGCGGCTAGCTAGCTAGCTACAGCTAGCTAGCTACAGCTAGCTAGCCACTGTTAGCTAGCTACAGCTAGCTGGCCACTGTTAGCTAGCCTTGTATACCGTTACAAGACTTTGTAGTAGGCATGGTTAGCCAGCTAGCTAGCTCTCTACTCAGTTCGCTAGCTAGCCACACAGCTAGCTAGCCATCCCCTCAGCTAGCTAGCTCACCCTCTAGTCACCTCACTCTCCCCGCAGCTAGCTATACGGCCCCTCAGTCTGTTTGGCTAGCCAGCCATTGCCACCTCTTCATATGAGTAGCTACCCCTTCAGCTAGCTAGCCCTCGCCCCCGCTACCTAGCCCCCTCTTCAGCTAGCTAGCCCTCCCCCCAGCTAGCCACAGCTAGCCACAGCTAGCCACAGCTAGCCACAGACCCCGGGGTGGGATACAGCTGTACTGTGTAGGCAACGAGGAGCTGGCAGTGTAGGGGGAGCGAGCTGTCGCTGCTGTGTGTTGTGTGTATAAGCTCAAAGAAATATAATTAGTTAAACACATCTATATATTTATATAAATGAATTTTATAAATAATAAGTTATAAATAATATATAAATAATTATTCAGTTGTGTTCTATTTATTGTGGCTAGTGTAGCTGAGATGTACGCAGGGGGGGGCTTGGGGTTTAAGTAAAAGCAGGGGGAAGAAATGTAATAGAAAAAGAAAAAAATAATAAAATAAATTTAATTTAATTATTTTTTTTTAATATAAAGCAGAAGGAACGGCAACAAACGAACAGAAGGCAGCGCAACAAGCACCCCAACATACGGCCCAGGCGTACACCGTAAAAAATACAATAGTAAGGAATAAAAGGAGAATTGAGGAGAAAAAAATATTAAATAAACTTTAATTATAAAAGAAAAATAAAATAAAATATATATATACTCTATACAAAGGGGCCCCAGGGAGAGACAGACTGTATGTTGACACCCCGTTGCAGCAGCAGCCGCAGCAGCAGCGGCTGCTGCTGTACATACACCTGAGTTCATATTATCTCGGTTGTTTCTGTATTTTTATTTCTTCTTATTATGTTGAAAATCTCCCTGTAAAACAAGAGAAAAGAACTCCGAGGCCTTGAGCCCTGTGCTGCTGCGTTGCTGCTGCTGCTGCAGCAGCAGAAGCTCCGCGGCGCTCGTGCTGCAGCTGTCCATACACCTGAAAGCTGTTACCTTGCGAGAGAGACGAGAAGTATACTTTATTTTAAACATAGTTGATCTGGAGAGGCAGGGGATACCTTGCTGCTCGCTGCTTGTTGCTGCAGCGGCTTATAGGGCCGCACCTGCTGCTGCAGCAGAGCAGAGAAAACTCCGCTCAGACAACGCCGCAGCTCCGCTGCTG